AAAGTGTCTGAAAAGTCCAGATTCATTCCTGAGAGAAACTCCCAGTGAATAAGGAATTGAAGGAAATTTCCTTAATGAAAAAGGGCTCAACCGAAAACCTACATCAAATGTCATAGTTGGTGGTGAAAACCTCAATGCTTTCTCCTTAGTTTCAGAAATAAGGGGAGAGTTTTGGCTCTCACCACTTGTACTTCTCAATCAATGGTGCTGGGAAAACTGGACAGTCACATGCAGAAGAATGAACCTGGCCCACACTCTTACACCACACACAAAGATAAACTCAAAATGGATGAGAGACCTACATGTGAGGCAGGAATCCATCAAAATCCTAGAGGAGAACATCAGCAGAGTAACTTCTTCAACATCGGTCACAGCAACTTCTTTCAAGATAAGTCTCTAAAGGTAAGGGAAACAAAAGCAAAAATGAACTTCTGGGACTTCATCAAGATAAAAAGCTTCTGCCCAGCAGAGGAAACAGTCAACAAAAGTAAGAGGCAAACCACGGAATGGGAGAAGATATTTGCAAATGACATTTCAGATAAAGGGCTGGTATTCAAGTGCTATAAAGCACTTTTCAAACACAACATCCAAAACATAATAATCCAGTCAAAAAATGAGCTGAAGAAATAACAGATATTTCTCCCAGAACACATACAAATGGCTAACAGACACATGAAAAAATGTTCAATATCACCAACCATCATTGAAATACCAATCAAAACCACAGTGAGATACCACCTTACATCAGTCAGAATGGCAAAAATTAATAAGATGGGAAAGAACAAGTGTTGGTGATGATGTGGAGAAAGGGGAACCCTCTTACACTGTTGGGAATGCAAGCTGGTACAGCCACTCTGGAGAATAGTTTAGAGGTTCCTCAAGACATTAAAAATAGAGCTAACCTAAAACCCAGCAATTGCACTACTAGATTTTTATCCTAAAGATAAAGGTGTAGTGAAATAAGGGGCACAGGCACCCCAATGTTCATAGCAGCAATGTCTACAGTAGACAAACTGTGGAAGGAGTTTAGATGTCCTTCAACAGATGAATGGATAAAGAAGATATGGTTTATATATATAATGGAATATTATTCAGCCATCAGAAAAGATGTATACCTACCATTTGCACTGACATGGAAGGGAATATGCTAAGTGAAATAAATCAAGCTGAGAAAGACAATTATCGTATGGTTTCACTGGTATGTGGAACATATGGAATAGCCTGGAAGACCACAGGGGAAAGGAGGGAAAATTGGATGGGAAGAAATCAGAGAGGCAGATAAACCATGAGAGGCTCTGGACTCAGGGAAACAAACCAAGGGTTACAGAATGGAGGGGTGGATTAACTAGGTGATGGGTATTAAGGAGGGCATGTGTTGTGATGAGCACTGGGTGTTATATGAAACTAATGAATCCTTGAATACCACATCCAAAACTAATGATGTACTATATGCTGGCTAACTGAACATAAGAAAAAACATAATAGAATAAAGCAATGTCTGTATTGTACTGTGTCACTTTGCCAATATGGTTGCAATCTTCTTTGTTTTTTAAGTATTTTTTAATGACTTCTTTATTTTAGGAGGACTTACAGAAAGGTATACCCAAAATGTTTATTTGTGTTGTAAGAAAGTCTAAATAAAATACTGTCCATTTCCTAGTGATCGAAATCTAGTAAAACACCTTGAAACATCAACTCCAAATTATCAAGATGAGGAACGACTTAGGGTAGTAAGTGACAAAGGGTCAGAACTGTGGTTGTTAGTCAAAAGGGATTTTAGTCTATAGGTAGTAATGACTTTAATAATTCATATATTCACAAATTCCTGCTTTTCTTGAAAGTAATAAAAAGTCATGAAACCCTTCATAAAGGTTTATGCATATTCCCTTCTATTCTTGTCACCAAAAAGGGGAAAGGAGAGAATGGTCAACTTCTATATAACATTTTGTCCAGGCACCTGAAGTACAAGCATTTCTCCCTCCTCTGGGATCAGGTAGTTTTTAGTTCTCACTCCTCTAGTCCTGCTCCTTGACCCTATTACAGTTATGTATAGTTTTTGTTTTTACCCAGAGATTGTAAACTAGTGTGTTATCTCCTTTCAGATATTCTTTTAAAAATTCACTAATTCATTCATTCTTTCATTCATTCACAGTTTTGTTTTTTTTTTTTTTTTACTTTCAGAAAAGATTCATTTTAACTGGTTTCAGGCTCATTTATCATTACCTTCTGATGCAAGAGTCAAAAGAGTGCCTTTCTTCTGCTTGTGAACTGCCTGTTCTAGGAAATAGTCCTTTGTTCTTTGTGAAAATCTCACCACCAAGTCTTTTTACATTCTGTCCATCTAAGTTTGGGTAATTAAATGCACTTATTGTTATTTCTTGGCCTAATGTTACTGCTTCTCCAGACTTTTTAAAAAAGTTAACATATAATGTATTATTTGTGTCAGGAGTACAGTTCTGTGATTCATCAGTCTTACCCGATTCACAGCACTCATCATAGCACATACCCTCCCCAATATCCACCCCCCATCATCCCATCCCTCCCACTCCCTTCCTCTCCAGCAACCCTCGGTTTGTTTCCTGAGATTAAGAGTCTCTTATGGTTTGTCTCCCTCTCTGGTTTTGTCTTATTTCATTTGTTCCCTCCCTTTCCCTATGATCCTGTCTTGTTTCTCAAATTCCTCATATCAGTGTGATCATATGATATTTGTCTTTCTTTGATTGACCTATTTCACTCAGCATGATACCCTCTGGTTCCATTCACATTGTTGTAAATGGGAAGATTTCATTTCTTTTGATGGCATATACCACATCTTCTTTATCCATTCATCTGTTGATGTACATCTAGTCTCTTCCCACAGTTTGGCTTATTGTGGACATTGCTCCTGTAACCATTGGGGTGCATGTGCTCCTTTGGATCCCTACATTTGTGCCTTTAGGGTAAATACACAGTAGTACAGTTGCTGGGTCGTAGGGTAGCTCTATTTTCAACATTTTGAGGAACCTCCTTACTGACTTCCAGAGTCTTGCATTCCCACCAGCAATGTAGGAGGGTTTCCCCTTCTCTGCATCCTCACCAACATCTGTCATTTCCTGACTGGTTAATTTTAGCCATTCTCACTGGTATGAGGTGGTATCTCACTTCACTCACAGTTTTTATTTAAATTCCAGTTAGTTAATATACAGTGTTACATTAGTGTCAGGTGTACAATATAGTGATTCAATACTTCCACAGAACACCCAGTGCTCATCAGGACTAGAGCACTGCTTCATCTCCTCAACGATTGAACCCATACCCTAACCCTCTCCCTTCTGGTAACCATCACTTTGATCTCTCTAATTAAGAGTCTGTTTCTTGATTTATCTCTCTCTGTCTTATTTTTTCCCCTTTGCTTGTTTGGTTTGTTTCTTAAATTATATATGAGTACCATTATATAGTGTTGTTCTTTCTCTGACTGGCTTATTTCCCTCAGCATTATACTCCCTAGCTCCATCCATGTCATTGCAAATAGCAAGATTTCACTCTTTTTTATGGGCTGAATAATATTCCATTACACTTTTATATATTCTAAACATCTAGTAAATTACCCCACTGAAACTAAAAGCTCAAGAAATATTTATATTTTTTGACTAAGGTAAAGAAATTAAATACGTAGCACACGATGAGACTTACTAAATTATTTTCTGATACTAATTTCCATGCAATTCCATTTTAAAGGTAGGATTTGGTTCACTTGTAATCCACATTCAGTCTAAGCAGTTATCTTCCTTTCTGACCATCTGCTTTTTCTTCATCAGGAAGCCTGGAATGAATGGGGCTGGGATCTGAAGTGTTTTTGCCAACCTTGTCAGTACCCTAGGGGGCACTCTAGACCTTAAAAGAAACAAAGACTTTCTGAGGGTCCAACCTTGAACAGTTAAAGAGAGAACAGAAATCATGCAAGCCAGTCCAATTATAAATAGCAAAGATAGGGAAGACAGGGTACAGAGTTTGTGTAAAATTCACCTCAGGTTTTCAGTTCTGCCATTTCATGTCAACTTCAGACTTCTGGAGGCCATGTCTCTAGAAATCCCTCATACAGATAATTCCTCATAGGTACCAGGATAGGATTATTTCTGGGTATCGTGAGCCTGGAAACTCAACAGAAAAATCCCATTACCTGTTGTCAATTGTTATGAATAAAATCTCCCACCTTACTGGCCTTGGAACTATCTCAATATCCCAGATACACTACCTTTTCATCTATCTCTGCTGAAAGTGGAGAGAACAAGAATGAAGAGAAGAAGAGGAGAGGAAACAATAAGGAACACAAAGAGAAGGAAAGGGAGAAAACAACATTGACTATGAAGAGCAACAAGTGGCCCAGTCAGACTCAGCTGTGTGGATGTGCAGGGTCCATGAATTGCACAGGAGAGGTGGAGATGCGAAAGGTATCTGAGAGAGAACAGTATCCTACATCCTATTTTTCACCAAGAAAATTGTGGTTGGAATAATTTTCTATGCAGATGGTGACTGTTTCATTTCTGGAGCTCTCTTAATTTCAAGAACGTGTATTTACTTCTGCAATACACAATACATGGTATCAGATACTTTTCCCTTATCCGTATTTTTATATAATTGAATTCTCACATTGTCTGTCAGACTGTGCAATTAGGGGAATGGTGTCACTCTTTCATATGATTCTTCGAAGTTCTAGGTAACCCCCTAGGCACTGACTCTTATAGAAATATCATTCACCTTTACTCATACACTAACTCACAAATCTCTTACTTAAAGTATTTTAAGAAAAAAAAAAAAACCATTTATCCTCCTATATTAGAAGTATTGCCCCTACCTCCCTGCACTGTGGGTCAGCAGTTTTGGAGACATGAGTGTGCCCTGTCCTGGGCCACTGTGGGAGGAGTCTGGTGTTCTGTGAATGAAGGACTGAGGTGTGATTGGTGCTCGGTGATTCTGTTGAAAGGGATTGACTTTAGGACACAGTTTCTCTGAATCCAAGACTCTACACTCTGCACAGTAGGCAGAAGTACCTCATCACGTAGACAAGGAATCATGAGGAGACACTGGGGAGCTCTCCTGGGGCTCCTGTGCATCCAGGTTTGCTGTGAGTGGGGGCGTTCCTCATGGGTACTCGGGTGGAGTCCACAGCCCACAGCCCACGGTGGTGGGGGGAACTCCAAGAGGGTCCTACAACCTCAGCGGTGTGTCTTAGGATATTTTGCAAGTTTGAAAACTGCATCAGTGACCTCTTGGTGACATCACTTGTGTTTGTTTTTCTCTTTCCACACAGGGGTAAGAGGGATGACGGTGGAGCAGAGCCCTTCAGCCCTGAACCTCCAGGAGGGAGCCAGCTCTACTCTCCAGTGTAATTTTTCCCAAACTGCGAACAATGTGCAGTGGTTCCGGCAGCACCTCGGGGGCGGCGGTCTCACCTGGCTGTTTTACATAGCTTCAGGGATGCAGCACAGTGGGAGGTTAAACTGCACAGTGAATACTAAGGATCGGTCCAGCACCCTCCACATCAGGGCCTCCCGACTGGAAGACTCAGCCACCTACTTGTGTGCGGCGGAGGCACAGTGCTCCCTGGTGATCTGCAGCCTGCACCCAAACTGCAGCTGGGCCTGTGGCTCCCACCTTTCCTGGGGTGGGCATTTGCCCCACAGCAGACTTTGCACATATTCAGCCTTTCAGATTTACTTTAGTGCATCTTTTTCCTCCTAAAATAGACCCATCAGGGTGGTCCTTTCACTTGCTTGTCTTGCCCTTCTTCCCAGAAAGCCCTTTGCAGGTAAAAAGCTCTTCGAAGGAGCTAGTGCATCAAGTGACAGAGATGCTCCTATCTAGTGCCCTGGAAAAGCAGATCTTCTGGCAGGTAGCATAAAATGTGTATGTATATTACTCAAATGAAAAAGGCTTGACAAAATAATGCTTTAATTATGCTTTAATTTATAATTATTATTAGTGCTTTAGCATTTATTACGGTGCTATCACTATCTTAAAACTAATATTAGTTTTATTGTTGCACCTGTCTTTTAAAAGTGAGTCCTATAAGTGAGGGAACAAGTGCCTGAAAAGAGAGATACATGGGGCAGCAGGACACAGGCAGGAACACATGAAGGCTCAGGTTCTGGGTCACAGAAGGCTGTGTGTGAGCTCATCACTTGGAGGGGCCACCTGTGCTATCTGTGCCTGCTTTGGACTAGATAGGGCTTTGACATGCAACAAAGGGTGTAGTTAGTACTGTCAGGAAATTACTACAAAATGAAAGTGTATACCTGGACATTTCAGTAAAACAATTTGGCTGTTTCTTACAGAACTATGGCCTTCCTGAGTATTTTCACTGAAAGGGTTGACAACTCTTGTCCACACACAAGTCTCTTCACAGGTGTTTTATAGCTGTTTCATGCATAATTACCAAAGCTTGGAAGTAGCAGCATGTCCTTCAATAGATAAATGAATAAATAAATGGTGTTACATCCAAGCAATGGAATATGATTTGGTGCTAAAACTATCAGAGCTATGAAGTCATGCAGAGATAGGGGAATCTTATATGCATTTTACCAAGTGAAAATAGCCTATCTGAAAAGGCAATGTAGTGTATGATTCTGATCCTATGACTTTCTGGAAAAGGTAAAACTATGGAGGGAGTAAAAGATTGTGGTTGCCAAGGACTGAGGGGAAAACAGGGATGAGGGGCACAGAGAATAGTTAGTGTAGTGAGCCTACTCTCTCCGATACTATACTAGTGGATACATGTCTTATACGTTCGTTCACACCCACAGAATGTACAACAGCAAGAAAGAACCCTAGATAAACTGTGGGCTTTGGGTGATATGATGGGGCAGTGTAGGCTCATCCATTCTGAAAAGGCCTTGAAATTATCTCAAAAATTTTATATGCATCCCTGGCTGGAAATTCTGAACCTTTAAATTAAAAATTTCAAGGTGAAACCCAAAATCCAGAAAGCAATTAGGCTGTTTTAGAGAGAGTACTCCTTGCTTTCCATATTAGTAAGCTCATCCACCTGCTCCAGGGTGTCTCAAATGAGGAGTTTCTTTTCTTCATATAATATGTAAATTGTATGAAATAAAAATATATAGGAAATATGTCTTCAGAAGAGCATCCTACTCGCCGATGGTTGAGCCATGGTACCCCTCCGTCTCACTGCCTGTGAAGGAATTTCAGTCAGTGAATAAAGTCCCATTTTTCCCAGTGTTAATATGAATTTATTTCCTCCTTGATACATTATTGATGTCATAGGAGAAATGAAAACCAGATAGAATCTCATCCTGTGTTTCTATTTCTGAAGGGGCTTCAGCCATTGGTCAGGACCAACCTCAGAACCACTAGATCACATGTGGTTGTGCAAATGGTCTTGGGGTCCATGATGCAGGCAGTTTCACCCCACTCTGACAACAGTCCACATTGCACAAAACCAGTTCTTAGTAAAAGTTTGCTTCTTATATAGTATGAATGAAATTTAGAGCTGGAAGTACCTTTAGAAATCCTTTAGTCCAATTTAACGTTATACATCAGAGACTGTAACCAAGTTGGCTGTAAAAAACAATTAGGTAGGGAATGAGCTGGAGGAAAGAGAAAGTGGGTTTCCTCACTTCCTCTTTGACATTCTTGCTCCTGCCTCCTTGTTGTAGGACCATTCTGCTGGGTAAAGAGGACATATCTAATGCAAGCCCAGCCACTTCGATCTCTGCACTTTGAGTCGGAGAAAGATGTGGTTTGATCAATTTGAACACCTGAATGGAGAGTTCCAATTTGTGTAAATGTCTGAGACCATGGGCTGCAAAGGAGACTTGGGCTGAGCCACTGTGTTTCTACCAGCAAATTTATCCATCACTCACTGTTTCTGTAGGAGAAAGCCAGACGTGATAGTTTTACCTGAACATCTACATGTATTTCTAAGGACGTTCCCCAAAATAGCAAATATATTTATTATGCCAGTTAGACATCACTTGAAGGCAGGGTGAGTATAATGAGCATAACTTACACATTGTCTGCAAAATGATCATAGGATTTGGAAGATCTCTGCAGTGCAAAAACCAGGAAGCTGTTAGATGATGTTTTCTAGGCCAATACTTGAAAATAAGTAAAGTAATATTCTGTAAAAACATCATGGAGCTGGAAATTTTGCCCAAGGGTTGGCTTTATCTGTGCAACAGTTAGTCCATGGAAGAGATCCATTCATATGAATGGTCACATTCAGTTCTGAGAGTCATACCTAAAAATTGCAAAAATTGACCTTCCCACCAGCAGAGGGAACTTCACCCAGAGAAGAATCTGAGAATTCTTATTTTATGGGGAATGGGGGGGAGAATGGAAGATTCTCAGACTCAAGAAGTTTTCCACACATAAAAACACATTTCATATATATGCACATATTTATATATTGATTTGATATTCTTCACTGTAGCTGTCTTTAAATCTTTCAAGGTGAGAGAGGATGAAAATGAGTTTTACTCTTTGTCCTTTCTCAGATCTGAGAGTAGACTTCACAGAAAAGGGGCTTCTCCTTTTCAAAATGAGGTAGTCTTGGTTTCCCAAAGATCATTTCTCCTGATCAGTTCTTTAAGGCCAGTTTCTGGTTGGTACCATCCCGGGGCATGCACAGTATTTATGCTTCCCTGTTATTCCTCTGCCCCCTTAACGTTGAGATTTGGTCCTTTACTTTTGTCACAGTCATCTCAACTGACAAATGATTCCACATTTTGACTGTTGGTACTGTCAATCCTCTGAGAAGAAATGCAAAGTCATGGGCAAGAGCAAGTAGGAGGAGCAGAGTCTGAGGTAAGAGACACTTAAAATAATAAATGATCTTCATTCTCTTACTCTAATCCTTGCTTCCATGTTCCTTTTAGAAATAGTTTTACTCCATAATAGACAACTGAGGATGGTAGATTTGGCAGAAAGGAAAAGTTTTCTATTTTCTTTGTTTAAGGGAGTAAATCATGATTCCTTCCTGATTTCAAACATGTATACCCAGCCCATCCTAAAATAAACAACAATATCATCTACCTCTTTCCAACTTACTAACAGTGACTCAGTAGTGTGTAGGCGTGTAAATCTTGTTCTCCACATTCTTACTGTAGAGTTCATCCTTGATCTAAGATATAAATTGCTTGACTGATTGCTGCCTTGATGCATGTGAGTCCCTCAGAGGCGCCAGCTAAGAGAAGAGCATTTCCCCAGGGAGTCCAGTAGAGATGTGACCACAAGACATCAGTGCACCTGTAATGATGCAGAACATGTGGAATTTTCATTTTAGTGCATCTGATGGACTAGACTATGGCAGCAGCAGAATCTTTTCTTATTGGCTGGTATTCAATTTGGGAAGTTACCTTGTTAGAGGAAAGAAGGGATGGCCTGATAAGAGAGGGAGCTGAGCTGATTGGAGTTTGCAATTCTGAACGTGAGTTTAACTGGGAGGAACCATGAAGACATCCATGGGAGATTTAATCATGTTCTCATGGCTGCAGCTGAACTGTGAGTTGAGTGTTTATGGGCAACAGAGTATATTAGTGGATATTCTTCAGAACTCAAGATTGGCTTTACTGAGGTTTCCTCCACTTAGTGTAGAAAAAGAGAATTCTGAAGCTTAATAACCTGGAATCTCTTCTCCTTTCTCTGACCTTTTCTTTCTGCACAAAGTTCAGCCAAGGAGAGAATGTGGAGCAGCATCCTTCTACCCTGAGTGTCCAGGAGGAAAGCAGCTCGTTATCAGCTGCAGTTATTCAGACAGTAACTCAGATTTACTTCCCCTGGTATAGGCAAGAACTTGGAAAATGTCCCCAGCTCCTTACATACATTTGTTCAAACTTGGCCACAAAAGAAGACCAAAGACTCACTCTTTCATTGAATAGGATGGCCAAACATCTCTCCCTGCACATCAGAGACACCCATCCTGAAGACTCAACTGTGTACTTCTGCACAGCAAGCACACATTGCTTCCCAGGCACCTGCTGCCTGCACTCAGACCTGTGACTGGGGCAGCCCCTGTCCTCTGACACAGACCATCAAGGATAGCTTTTGTGCTATTGTCTGTCTATAGGTGGAAGCTAATATGCTAGACTATTAAGATGGAGATGACCCAAACAGGGTGAAAACATTTTGTTGGATGAATCTTGTTTTTGGATTCTTGATGTGATTTAATAACGTTTTATTTTGAAATTCAGGTCTTCAAGATGACTTTACATTTGTTCTTCTGACTCTCTCTTATAAATATCCACTTAGTACTGATATTACAGTCCTTATTATGGATGGGCATTTAACCATTGCATTTTAAAAGTAGCCATAATTAATTTTGTGATTCTACAACATTACATGACAACATGGAAATATGGAAAATAGAAAAATGAAAGCGATAATTCTGTAATTACAATTATTGTGGATATTCCTTTTAGTCTCTAAGAATTCTTATTATAATGAGGATCATGAAATTTTCACCTTGTGTATTTCAGTTTTAACATTCCCTTCTTCACTAATTATTTCCCTCAAACATCTGCTTTTTAAAAATGTTAATTTTGCGGGGGGGTTGTCAAGATGGCAGAGAAGTAGCTGGCTGAGTTGACATCAGGTAGCAGGAGACCAGCTAGATAGTTTATCAAAAAATTCCGAACACCTACAATTCCAATAGGAGATGGAAAAGAAGAACAGCAGCAATTCTAGAAACAGAAAATCGACCACTTTCTGAAAGGTATGACCTGCGGAGAAGTGAATCCAAAGCGACAGGAAGATAGACCATGGGGGGAGGGGCTGTCTCCCGGCAAGCGGCAGAGCAGTGGAGCACAAAATCAGAACTTTTAAAAGTCTGCTCCACTGTGGGACATTGCTCCAGAGGCTAAGCCATGGTGAAGCCCATGTGGGGACAGTGTGGTCTCAAGTCCCGTGGAGTCACAGTAGGATCGGGGGTGTCTGAGTGTCACAGAGCTTGCAGGTATTAGAGCAGGGAAGCCAGCTATGGAGATGGAGCTGTGGACTGAGCTCTCAAATCGGGGTTACCTTAAACTGTGGTCCGTGTCACAGTCAGACCACTGCTCTGTGAGCAGAGAGCCCACAAGATCTGGGGAGATCCCCCTGGAAGAGTGCAGGGGTCTGCTGGTTTGGGAGACTCCAGGAGGGGCTGTGTGCCAGAAACAGAGACACTTGGTCACAGGCTGGGTGAGCTTAGAGCGAGGCTGAAGGCCAGGGAGATGGGAGTGATTGAGAGCTTTTCTTGGAGGGTGTACTGAGGAGTGGGGCCCCCAGCTCTCTGCCTCTTCAGGCCAGAGATAGGGAAGCTGCCATTTTCATTCCCGTCCTCCAGAACTCTACAGAAAGCATTTAGGGAACAAAAGTTCCAGAAAGTTAACCCAAACCCAAGCAGATTACTTAGCCTGGCCCCTGGTAAGGGCGGTGCAATTCCACCTCAGCCAAAGACACTGGAGAATCACTACAACAGGCCCCTCCTCCAGAAGATCAGCAAGAAATCCAGCCAAGACCAAGTTCACTTACCAAGGAGAACAGCAGAATTCCAGAGGAGGAGAAAGCAAAGCATGGAATTCAAGGCTTTCTCCCCATGATTCCTTAGTCTTGCAAAGTTAATTAATTTTTTTAATTTTATTTTTTTCTTATGCTAAAATTTTTTTAACTTTTACTCTTTCCTCTTTTAACGTTTTTTAACTAGTCTATCTTAACAATACCTTTCATTAAAAAATCTTTTTTTAAATCCTCATTATTATAGTCGTATTTTATCTTTCATTGTATGTAACTTTGTTTTTTGTATACACATAGGGTTTTTTCTTCTAAAAAAAATTTTGGGATAGAGCTTCTTCTAATACATCAAAATATACCCTAAATTTAGTGCAGGGCTTTGTTCGAGTCTCCAACCTAAGCAAATTCTCTCCACTTTCTTTTTCTTTATTCTCCCAACCAACTTATCTTATCAACTCCTCTTTTAGAAATTAAAAGAAAAAATTTATCTTTATACTCTTATCCCATCCCTTCATCGTGTTTACCCTTATTGTGTGTGTGTGTGTGTGTGTATGTGTGTATATATATATATATATATACACATATATATATTTCATTCTTTAAAATTTTTGGAGGTAGTTTCTTCTAAGAGACCAAAATACTCCCAAAATTAATTGGGTGACTCTCTCCTATTCACTGGTATAATATATTTTTTCTTTTTTATATTTTTTCTTTATTTTTCTTTTAAAAATTTTTTTCATTTTATTTTATTTTATTTCTTTTCAGTGTTCCAGAATTCATTGTTTATACACCTCACCCAGTGCTCCATGCAATATGTGCCCTCCATAATACCCACCACCAGGCTCACCTAGCCCCCCAACCCTCCCCTCCAAAACTCTCAGTTTGTTTCTCAGAGTCCACAGTCTCTCAGTATTTATAACTCTTAACAAATTTCTTATAATGGCCTTTTTCAAAAGAATTTAGTTAAAAAAAGAGAATAAGGGAAATTGTCTTAAGTAAGCATATGCTACCATTTAGGTGTTTGTATACATTATTTTTTTATTAATTTTTAAATTTTTTTATAAACATATAATGTATTTTTATCCCCAGGGGTACAGGTCTGTGAATCGCCAGGTTTACACATTTCACAGCACTCATCATAGCACATATCCTCCCCAATGTCCATAACCCCACCACCCTCTCCCGATCCCCCTCCCCCCAGCAACCCTCAGCCTGTTTTGTGAGATTGAGTCTTTCATGGTTTGTCTCCCTCCCGATCCCATCTTCATTCCTTTTTTCTTTTCCTACCCCCAAACCCCCACGTTACATCTCCACTTCCTCATATCAGGGAAATAATATAATAGTTGTCTTTCTCCGATTGACTTATTTCGCTAAGCATAATACCCTCTAGTTCCATCCATGTGGTCGCAAATGGCAAGATTTCATTTCTTTTGATGGCTGCATGGTATTCCATTATATATATATATATACCACCTCTTCTTTATCCATTCATCTGTTGGTGGACATCTAGGTTCTTTCCACAGTTTGGCTATTGTGGACATTGCTGCTATAAACACTCGGGGACATGTGCCCCTTTGGATCACTACATTTCTATTTTTAGGATCAAATCCCACCAGTGCAATTGCTGGGTCATAGGGTAGCTCTATTTTCAACTCCATGCTGTTTTCCAGAGTGGCTTCACCAGCTTGTAGTCCCACCAACAGTGTAGGAGGGTTCCCCTTTCTCTGCATCCTCGCCAGCATCTGATGTTTCCTGACGTGTTAATTTTAGCCATTCTGACTGGTGTGGTTTTGATTTGCATTTCCCTGATGCTGAATGATGTGAAGCACTTTTTTATGTATGTGCTGGCCTTACCCAATAATTCTTACGCATTTTTGCATTAGCATTGTCTGTGCAGAGCTGAACTATAACACTAGGGTGGGTACTGTCTCAAATAAAGGCTATACCCATGCAAGTTATTTTATTAGTGAAAAAACATTCAGGATAACCAGAAATATCTAAGATTTTACCATTAAAGTGAGAAAATACGTCTAAAAGGATAAAAATTACCTCTAAATGATACAAAGGAAAGTATTAAAATCGGTGGTTCCTAATATCTAGGAAAATTCTTTTCTTCTTTTTTTATCCTTAACTTTTATTAAGTTCCTATTTTTTTTTAATTGTGTTATGTTAGTCACCATACAATGCATCATTGGTTTTGGGGACTTCATTAAGATAAAGAATTTCTGCAAAGCAAAGAAAACAGTCAACAAAACAAAGAGCCTGGTGGTAAGCATTCTTTTCTAATTGTCTTAGATGGAGCTGTTCGTCATGCAGTTACATGTTTTTTTCCCTACAATATTATGTGTACAGTCATCGTGGACTGTCTACTTCTGCTGTTTCTCCAGGAAACCTCAGTTTAAGATCTCTAATATGAGTAACTTTTTCAATTTCTGTCAGTGAAGAATGTAGGATGTCATAATATTTGATAAACATGTAACCAAGGATCCATTTCCTCTACTTTATCTGCTGAATTAGTAATAAGTGGTACCTATAAAGTTATTTCACAATTCTCAATGACAGTTTTTTTCTGGGATTATGTTCAAGGCACCAAAGGTTTAGGTCATGTAATGGTGATGAAATGAATGTCCACAGAGCAGCCTGTACCTGTGAGGAAAGGAAGAATGTCAAGGCTTTACTTATTTAGTTCAATAGTTTGGGAAGGCTGGAATGGGTATGGTTTGGGACATCTGAGTTATGTGCGCTACAGTGAACAGTCCAAAGTGAGACAGCCTAGGACTTTGTAAGGAAGACACAGGGCCATGAAGGTTAAGACTGTACCAGACCACAGTAGTTCAAGGGTAACTGCTACAGTTACTCATTTCAGTTTAACATTGCATTTGTTTTTCCACTTTTCCACAGGATCTGGGTGTGATAGGAGAAGAGAAGTTTCTATGTGAGTCCTATCTTTACCTAACTTTCCCAGAGACTTTTGCTCTACCCTTAGAGAGTATTTGAAATGGTATAGGCATTAAACACAAAATCCAACTGATATTTGACTCTTTAAAAAAATCTTATTTATTTACTAGACAGAGAGAGAGAGAGCACAGGCAAGGGAGTGGCAGCCAGAGGGAGTAGAAGCAGGCTCCTCGCTGAGCAGGATGGGGGACTCGATCCCAGGACCTCGGGATCAGGACCTGAGGTGAAGGCAGACGTTCAACCAACTGAGCTACCCTGGCACCCCTGATATTTGACTCTTGTGATTGTTGTGGCTTTCAGGAAAGAGAATGGTTCAATCCATGTAGAAAATAAAATACTATTACCCATCCACACTCTTAGCTCATGCAGGGAATGCAACTGTGTTAAATCCCTTTGGAGATACTCAAACGTTTCCTTAGGACAGTATTTCAGAGCATAGCCTACCTTTCCAGATTTTTTGGGATTTCATAGACTCCCAGAAAGACATGGAAAGCCCCATTGTCTGCCATCCTAGAAAAGTCTCCCCACTAGTGTTTGGTTTAATGTTGCATCCAGTATATTCCCAGTGTCAAGTGTTGTCTCTGGTGGATTGTAGCAAGTGTTCTTTGGTATCATTTGGCTGCACCAGGCAGCTGTCCTGGCTTTGCTACATCTTGTTCTCATGGATCATCAAATCAATCATTCATAGTGATTCTTTACAAAATTTAGTGCCAAATATTCTACAACCAAGATAGAATTAATTGAACTTTTCCTTGGTT